TGTCTCTCTTGCAGTGAGGGGCCCGGAGCTGACACAGGGTTCAAGGTGCAGCCTCAGCAGTGCCCAGCGCAGGGGAACGGGTGGCAGCCAGGACAGAGCATTGCAGGGGTCCCTTTCTGGCATTATTATATTTAAGAAAACGAAGTTGAAGCTTCAGGGGTTTTTCAAAGCATGAAAACTTCCACCCCAGCTGCTAAAACCTGGCACAGCCCCAGCAAGAGCCTTACCATGGAAAACTACAGGGGCTGGGTGTGACATTGCCCATGGCAGAGAACAGTGGGGGCAGGAACTGTGGCCTCACAGGTAACACACACACTGACCCAGGCCTGGGAGCAGGAGCTGCCTCCTCGCTGTACCTGGCTGCGAAGCCACCGCTGTGTCCACTGGCACCGACTTCTCCCTCTGCTTGAAGATGTCCCGGGGGTTCACCTCTCTCTGTGCTATCAGTGAGGCAGCCTCCTGCAAAGGGGAAGACCCCACAGTCAAGGCACCCCTGGAGCCAAGGGGGGACACAAGGGGGGAGCCTGGCACCGTACCTGGGCTTTCTCCACCGACTCGCTCCTCGTGACGCCCTTCTGCCGCCTGGCCTCGTACTCCTCAGCTCGCTCCTTCTGTGGCACAAGAGGGGCTGCTACAGCCTCGGTGGGTGCCAGCCCAGCGCCCTCCCTCCCTCCCTCCCTCCCCAGGCAGCGCCAGGGACCAGAGAAATGGGAATAGGGAAGAGCCACAATGTTGGAGGGTGAATGAGGAGGAAACCCCCTGGAGCTGGGAGGGAAATGTAGGTTTGCTGGGTCAGGACAAGGACTTGGTTTCTTCCAGGCTCTTCTCCAGAAAGGGGTTTGAATTGTGCTTCCCCCAGAGGCTGTGGCTCAGCCAGTGTGAGCAGGGAGATAAAGAGAGATCCAACGAAACCAAGAACGGAGCAAGAGACCTCGAGGGCCAGCCCATGGCACCTCTCATGCCAGAGCATGCCACAACAGTGCCCGGGGATGCCTGGGGAGCTCCTCCATCACCCTCCTGCCCCTGCCCACAGCCTGGTCTGCACCACAGCACCCTGTGCTCTCCATCACGGAGGGTGGGTGAAGAAACGGGGGACAACGCTGAAGCTCACCCATTGCTGCTGCTCCTTGTCCCTGCTCTCTGCCTCCTGCTGCTGCTGGAGCCTCCTGAGGTGACAAGTGACAAAGTGAACTTAGCAAACAGGCAGGACGAGGGGTTTGCTCTGTTTGGGGCTGCTCTGGGACCTCGTCCTGCTGCAGCTACACGGGGAAGAGCACAGGAAGGACATTGCCTCTCACTTCTGGGGCCGGATGAGGAGCCACAGGCCACCCCTGGAGCCATGCAGGGGACAAGAAGAGAGGGGCAGAGCAGCAGAAGCTCTTCCTTCAGCAGCACAGACATGAGCATCCGGCACGGAGGGGCCGGGCAGACTTCCCCATCCGAGCTCCAAACAGGAAGGCAGTGCCCGCTGCTGCTGCAGAATGAGCTCCGCCACCCAACAGGGGCTCAGAGAGGAAGGAAATCAGCAGAGAGAGCACAATGCTGGTCCCTGCACACGCCACCTCCTCTCTGCAGGGCTCAGAGCCCCCCACCAGCCGGCCTGAGCCCCTGGTACCCCAGAAACAGTAGCCACGGACTTCAGCAACGTGTTTCAGAAGCACCCTACAAAGGGAGGGCTTGGTCCTGGGGCAGGGAGAGCCATGGATGATGCTGGACAAGCAGCCAGGCTTGGTGGTGGTTTGCCAGGGAGATGCTCTCTCCACCCAAGGGGACACTCAGCCCGGCCAAACCTCCACCATCACTCCAGGACAGGGAGCAAAGGAGAGCACAACTCCTCACATCAGCAGGGGCAGATGATGCTTGCTCGGGCTGCACGGGCACTGTGAGGAGGAGCAGAGCCCTGAAGACAGAGCACCAGGGGCTGAGCCTGCCCTGGGGTGACCAAAGCTGATCCCCTCCGTGCTTTTAGGGGGTTTAACTGGAATTGTAGCAGGGAATGCACAGACAGGACCTGCCGCTCCCCAGGGAACAACTCTCTGCTTGACAAGGGCACCCTGAGAGCAAAGCCAAGAGATGCCAGTGGCAGGGACTCACTTCTGGGCTTCGATTTCATTGGATCTCGCTTTGTATCTCTGCTCCCTCCCCGCCGCCTCCTGCAGCTCCCGCTCCCGCCGCTCCCGCTCCAGCCGCTGCCGCTCCTCCTCCGCCCTCCTCTTCTCCTCCAGCCGCCGGTTCTCTTCATCCTTCTGCCAGCAGACACACAGCAGGACCACGGCCTTAATGCCGCTGGTCCTCGGCCACACGGTGCCACCGCTGCAGCCCAAGGCTGCCCCTGTAGCCCGAGGAGGCAGGACCCAGCCCAGGTCCACACTTGCGTGAGGTCTGGAGCCTTGACTGCAGGCAGGTTAGAGAGGGGAGGTGTGGATGGAGAGAAACCAGCAGCACTCACCTCAGCTTTGGCCCAGAAATTATCTTTATTGACCCTCTTGATTTCGGACATTGCGTTTGTCTTCTGGTAGACAGAGCCCTGGGGGAGGCAAAGGCAGCACGTGTGAGCAGCAGGCACTGAGCAGTGACACTGTGTGTTCCTCTGCAGAAACGTGTCCTGTCCCTGCAGCTTTTCCCTGCTGCTACAGGACCAATCAGAGCCCCTCTGACTCCAGTAAAACCCGACCAGGACCAGGGGGATCAGTGCTGCTTAAAGAAAATGGTTGAGCCTATGGAGAGGAGAGCTCAGAGCCTCTTTGTTGTAAGGACACCTCAGCTCTGCCACCACCCTGTGCTCTTGCAATGAGCCAGAGAGAGGAACCAGCCCTGGGCAACACCACTGGTGCTCCCATGGCCATGGCAAAGCACCAGCAGCCCAGGCTCGGCCTGCACAACTGCAAACCCCGGGGACCCAGGATGCCCCCATGGAGCCAACTCACCACAGGAGCTTGAGGGCCCAAGTCCTGGAACTTGCTGTTCTCCTTGTGGAAGCTGTAGTTGGCCCCTGAGGCCTTGGCCACCTTCTCCATGATGAGTTCAGGCTCCACGTCCTCCTCCGCACGAGCATTGATGGTGACATGAGCCCCCTGAGCAGGGAGAAAGCAGCACAGGAGTGAGAGGGTGGCTCTAGAAGCCACTAAACCCACCACGCTGCCTTGACAGGTCCCATCTGCACCCCCAGAGCTGCCAAGGGAAGGGAAAGGGCTCAGGTGAGAAACAGAGGTCACCAGGCATGTTAAGATAACCCAACGCTGGGAAAGCAAATGTTCTTCGGGGGACAGAGAGGCTCTTTTCACCTCCTCTGCAGTCCCCAGAGCTACTTTTGAGTGCAGAAGGTTTGGGTTGACAGTGCAGGGAGTCCTGAGGGCCAGGGCCGTGCTCCCCAGCCCTGACCTGCCTGCAGACTCCTCTGTGCCACACAAAGACCAGTGTGAGCCGTGCTGGGTCCCCATGGCCGTTCCCTAACCCGGGGCCCATGGATGTGGGGAGGATGCAGGGAAAAGGAGCAGACCTTTAGGAAGTTGGCTACAGTGCTGAGGTGGTTGGCGCAGGCTCCTTTCCTCACGTCATTCACACCTTCACCAGTCTGCAAAGAGAGCGTTCAAAGGCCACGTTGGACACAGGGGCTTGGAGCAACCTGCTCTAGTGGAAGGTGTCCCTGCCCTTCTACTGGAAGAGCTTTACGGTCCCTTCCAACCCAACCCGTTCCATGATTCCTCGACAACGGCTGCACCATGAGGGCTCCAGGCTCCTGCCCATCCTCAGGTGCTTCACTCAACCCATCCTAGATGGGCTCAGAGCCATTTTCCAGCAGCGTCTCCACCAGCCAAGTGAGCTTCATGGCCAGAGAGCTGCAACAGGGAAGTGAATCCTCACTGTTTCTCTTTGCCTGCATCCGTGGGGTTTGGGCTACGCACCCACAGTGGTGGGCACGGTACATCTTTGGTACTGCAGCTTGGAGGAAGGGATTCAATTCCAGAGGGAATTGAAGGGAGGAACTGATTTCTTTCCCCAGGCCCCTCCTGGGAAAGGCGAAGGTCAGTCCCCACTCACCCAGTTGATGAGGACGTATTTGGGCAGGCCGGAGTTGGGATCCTTCACCCTGCAGAAGGCATACATCACCTTCCCACTGTTGAGCTCCTCCACCATCTCCTCCAGGCCACCATCTGCCCCAGGAGAGAAGGGAGAGGCTGTGAGACAGGAGACCACGTACACATGGTGGGAACGGTGGTTCCTAACCGAAGCCACACTGCAGCAGAGCACGGTGAGCACCTCCACCACCAGCAAACAGGCTGGGGAAGATCGGAGCAGCCCTGAGAAGCGGAGGAGGAACTGGCTCTGCCTTGTTCCCGTCCCACCTTCTACCTCCGGCACTTCACCAAGCAGGAAGTAGAGGAGAGACGAAGAGGCTGGTGCAGCGTAAGGCAGGAGGAAACCCCAGGGCTCAGGGATGGAGAAGCAGAGCCCAGCTCTGCTCAGCGATCAGGGGGTGAGCGATGGGAAGGGCTGCGCTGCCCCATGGACCGCAGCATCTCTCCCGCTGGAAGCAGATGCCAAAAAACTGCCAGAAAAGGAGGAAAAATGCAAAAGCATGTGTGTTTTCAACAGGAAAAATTCCCAGAAACCACAATTCCTCCTCCTTGGGCTTGTCTGACCCTTGGAAAAGCTGCTTTCCACCCGCAGAGCCTGGTCTCTGCACTGCAGCAGGACCCGCCGCCGTTTTCTTCTCTGCTATTAAATATTTATGCTTTGGCTCTAAATTTGGCACCGAGGTTCCCCAGCCCGCAGGGAAGCTGAAGGCTGGGAGGCTGAAGGTGATGGGTTGGCAGGGCCTACGTTTGCCAGGTCAATGATTAACACAGCAGCAGCGGGGGAAGGACACAAAGGGAAGTGCTGGGAGGAGCAGAGCTCTGTGGAGAGGTTGGGGCTCTGCTGGTGGGGAGCAGCAGAGTGACACTGCCCAGTGGCCCAGCACAGAACCACACAGCACTTGAGCTCCACACCCAAAATTCTCTTCATCCAACCCCAACTCTTTGACTCTTCTCCCCAGAGACGCGTTAGCTGCCCCAGCCCTGGCAGCGCTCAAGGCCAGGATGGACACAGGGGCTTGGAGCAACCTGCTCTAGTGGAAGGTATCCCTGCCCGTAGCAGGGGCTGGATGAGCTCTAAGGTCCCTTCCAACCCAAACGAGGCTGTGAGTGATTCTATGACAGCAGCAAATCTGCATCTCAGCCCCCTGCAGCCTGAGAAGAGCTTTTGCTCATCAAAAGGCCCCAGCACCAAAGCACCCGCTCCATGGACAGACCTGTCCCACCTGAGCACGGCCACCGAGAGCCTGGTGGGTTGTGGGGAAACACTTGCAAATGGGAAACGCAGCCGAGCGCTGGAGGATGCAAACGGGAGCAGAGCAACCTGCCTGGCTGCGTTCCCAACAGCTTCAGCTTTTGTGTGGGAATCAGCAGCCAGATACGAAATCCACAAGCTCAGTTCCATCAAGTGGGGAAGCAAAGAGAGCAGAGGCCCTTCAGCAGCAGCCTGGGAAAGCCA